GCGGGTATCCCGGTCCGGCCCGCCACGGTGCTGGGCACCATGGAGATGGGGCGCCGCATGGACGTGTCCGCCAGCGCCGCGTCCCTGCGCGCCTTCCAGGAGCGCGGCCACACGGAGCTGGACACGGCCTTCATGTACAGCGATGGCCAGTCCGAGACCATCCTGGGCGGCCTGGGGCTCGGGCTGGGCAGCACAGGCTGCGCAGGTAACGGCCGCCCTCGGACTCTCTACCTCTTACCCTTGCCCAGCTGCACACGGCTGAGTTCAGCACCTGCAGCTTCGTCCTAGTCCTGGGGCTCCGACCTCCACTCTCCCTCCTCACAGCTCCGTGAACCCTGAACTCCTCAGGTGCCTCGAGCCCCGGAAAACTGGTGCCTTGCTGAGGCTCCTTAGCTCCTCCGCTGCCTCCTTTGGGGGTTCCAGCTCCAGAGCCCCCACCTCACCCCAAGCCACCTCCTTACCTACACTGCATCTCCTGCCGGGTGTCGGCTGCCAGTCCCGTCACCTGGGCTCTGCGCCTCTCCACCCGACCTTGACCACCCATGCACTCTGAGCAAGCACCCTGTCTCATCTCGGTCTTTGATCAGTCCCTAGACTTTGTTCTTTGCCGTTGCCAGTGCTTCTGGGTCTCAAGGAGAACTATGGGCTCAGCTGGGGACGGAGGGGCGGTGTTGGTGGTGTAAGCCCTTTTCCACGGTTCCGTGCCCGGCTTTATCGTGGGGCTACAGGAGGGAAAGTGACTAGTCCACCCGTGGGGAAGACTGGAACACTGGCTTCTGGAGTGGGCAGAAGAGAGGCTCAGGAAGATGCAGTAGGGAAGGCTGAGAGAGCTCTGGACCTTCAAAGGTCGGTATTGTAGTAGCTTGCTGTTGGGAGAGACCGAGGGAACAGGCATTGGAAGCTGGAGCATAGCTGCGCAGACTTGGCTTGTACAGTGGGGCATGTGCGGCGAGTGGGCAGTGTGGCTGGATGGAGGATGAGGTGTGTCCTGCCCCTCGTTAGCCTGGTGCCATTGGAAGTACCGGAAGGGTGCCTGACACATAGAGCCCTCTTTGCCATCCTGAGTCTCCTTCCTGTCCCTGTGGAGCGGCCCTCTCTGCCTCCTCTTAGATCCACAGCTTGGACAGATGGGAATGTGTCTCTCTGGTCCGCGCCTGCTAGTCAACCTGATGTATCTGCTTGAAAGTGAACATTCTGTTTGTGAAGTGGTATTTCTTCTCCAAGCCTTCCCTGCTTGCTTCTTTGAGGCCTGGAGCTCACTGGCCTAGAGACGGTGTTCACACCCAAGGCAAAGTTCACACCAAGGATGCCCTGGGGGCGATGGGGTACAAACTCGGGACTTCTCCCACGTGACTGGGGACACCTCTCTCACATGCTGAGTTAACTCAGCCAAGAGAGAAAAGTGCAAAGCCCATCCACCCATCAGTCAGAACAGCTGCTGAATTAACTGACTTCCAAGCTTCCTGGATGGCGGGACACTGCAGCGTTCTCCTGGGGTCGGTGCCTCAGCAGTGGATGTATGGATGTGCATGTTTCTTACAGTCTGGGAGGAGGAGGGTCTCTACTGACCTCCTGATCAGGGTGCCTCTAACTCCGATTCATCAATACCTCAAGGAGCCAGCTCTGTCCTGGCCCCCCTGCTTCCAGGCTGTCCCCTTGAGTTCCTTCTCTATACTGCAACCACAGCGAACTTCCTGCCTGGTTCACACCTGACAAAACCTGTGAGTGATCTAATCCCAATTCACTGGGATTGTGTCTGTGCCCTCTTCCCAGGTCGCCTTTACAGATTCAGAGTTGGAGCTGTCCAGCCTCGCATCTGTGTTTTCTTGTCTCCGTGACATTGTTTGTCCTTTCCTTGTTGGCTTAGGCTGTATCCTGGGGACTCAGATTGGAATCATTGTCTAGAGCAGCGATGGGGAATCTCTTAGATCTTTCCCTGGGCCACGGGTGCCATAAGCTCACCACCCCTGGCCTAGAGCAAGCCTTTCCTGGGTTGCAGGGTTGGCCTTCTGCCTCTCATAGAGGCTCCAGTAGCATTTGCACTGACAGGTAGACTGTGGGCTCCTGCACGGCAAGGATCCAGTGTATTCACTTTGCCTCTGCACCTTTGGTCCCTTGTTCAGGGTCTGGCGGCACCAGCAGTTTGTGATGATCCTGGTGGCTGGAACAAAAGCGAACATTGAGAACTTCAATTTAAAACATTGTTTAATCCCTGTGACTTCTGTGTGAGGACAGTTCAGTTTCTGCTATCCCATTGTATAGATCAGGGAATTAGGTTCAGGAAACCTCAGCAATTTATCAGGGTTGTAAGACATATTATTAAAAACTCCAGCCATAGGTCTTGTTCTCCTGTGAACCAGAATGATGTCAGCAAGATAGGAGAAAAGGAACAAAAACACAGAGACAGGAGAAAAAAAACAAAAAACAAAAAACGGAGACAGAGACAGACTTGAGAGAAGCCGGATCTTCGGCTGATCTTGGCTGCTCTGTGCAGCAAAAACAGACACCAAGGATATCCAGTGTTTATTTATTACAAGTGTGGGAAGGCGGGAAGCTGGGCAGGCCTTGGGACACGAGCTGGAAATAGCTATCATAGCAGGATGATGGAATGAAGACCCGAGTAGAGCTTTAGCAGAAGAGAACAAACAGTTAATTCAGAGAGGAATGGGAGTCACTTGACCTTGGATGGAAGTGAGCCCAGCTGACGCCTGCTACATCTAATGTAGCATAGCTGAATTATGGAGGGGCAAAAAGCTTGTGCAGGGCCGGGGATTTGGCTCAGTGGTTCTGCCGCCTGCCTCGCGAGCACAAGGGTCCGAGTTCAAGCCTGGTACCAAAAAAAAAAGAATCTTGTGCAACTATAGCCTGCTAATACTAGGCAGAGGTGTCTACTACACAGGGTCACTTGGCCAGTAAGTAGCTCTGATACTATTACATTCTCCCTCCAAGTGAAAATTGCCACCAAGGCCAACCCTTGGGATGGAAAGACACTGAAACCCGACAGTCTCCAGTCCCAGCTGGAGACATCACTGAAGAGGCTACAGTGTCCCCGAGTGGACCTCTTCTACCTACACGCACCTGACCACGGCACCCCCGTGGAGGAGACACTGCGTGCCTGCCAGCAGCTGCATCATGAGGTGAGTGGGGGAGGTGGTCTCCACCTGCCCTCGTGCTGACACTGCCAGGAGAGTGGAGCTAGGGCGACCCCACTCCCCGGTCCCTGCCCCAGTCTCCCCTGCCTGACTCCTGGGCTGAGCTGGTCCTGACCGGGCCCGTCCCCCGCAGGGCAAGTTTGTGGAGCTTGGCCTCTCCAACTATGCAGCCTGGGAGGTGGCTGAGATCTGCACCCTGTGCAAGAAGAACGGCTGGATCCTGCCCACCGTGTACCAGGTGAGGGCTTCCCAGTGTGCCTTGGCTGCTGGGTGCTCAGGCTCCAGGGCTGTTCCCAGCTCTCCTTACCCCTCAGACTGCCCCTGCATCCTTACGCAGCAGCCTCTCCTTAACTAAAGCCTGTGGATGGCTCCCAGGTGGCCTCAGCATGAGGCCCAAGCTCCCCAGCCTGTCCTCCAGGCACCTGCTGGCTTCCTGCCTGAGTGTGCAGCTCTGTCTCCCTTCCATGCCCTCTCTGCTCCTCACGTGCCTGGAACACGTGCCTGCCCACTCCTGGGAGAAGGGTTGAGGTCTCGGTCAGGTGACTCTTCCTTGGGAAGCCCCTTTCCATAGTTCCCTGAGGCTCTCAGTCTCCAAACCACATCTTTATGCACCCTGTGAGTATTTATTTTATTTATTTATTCATTTTTAATTTTTTGAGACAGATTCTTATGCAGGCTAGCCTGGAACTCGGAGTGTTCTCCTGCCTCAGTTGCCTTAGTGTCTGGATTACAGGCATATACCCCCATACCTGGCTTGGATTTAGAATTTGAAAAGAGGAATGCTGAACGGCTCTGTGGCATGCGATTGTAATCCTACCTACTCAGGAGACTAGGGCAGGAGGATGACTTGACCCCAGGAAGTCAGGCTACTCTAGCAACATAGTGAGACCCTGTCTTTTAAAAAAATGTTCTAAAGATATAATTATTTTTTAAAAAACAAAAGAGGCCAAGTATAGTAGTACATGCCTGTTATCTCAGCAGTGAGAGGCTCGGTCAGGCAGATTGCAAATTTGAGCCCAGCTTGGGTAATTTATTGGCCTAAGGAGACCCAGTATCACAATAAAAAATTTAAAAAGGTTTAGGGATGTACTCAATGCAGAGGCCCTAGGGTCAATCTCCAGTACTGACAAAAAGAAGAAAAGAAAATGGGCAGACTGGGTCCCCTCCCTTGATACGTCCACCTTCTCCAACTGGCCTTCTCCCTGCAGGGGATGTACAATGCCACCACCAGGCAGGTGGAAACAGAGCTCTTTCCCTGCCTCAGGCACTTTGGATTGAGGTTCTACGCTTACAACCCTTTGGCTGGTATGGGTCCTGTAGGGAAGGCTCTTGTGGAATGGGTGGGCGTTGCTGGCCATGTCTGTGTCTAATTCAGTCCCTGTGGATGCCCAGCACTGGCCCTGGAAAGAAGGGAG